ATCCGGTTTTCGATACTGATTTAGTCTTTGAGTTCTCTATAAAAGAAAAAAGATTGATACAAATTGTTCATTTATCCGCGTTAATTTGATGAAAGAATTAGATATTGAACGCTCTTCGATTTTCGGTACTGATTTATTTTCAAATCGTTTTATAAAACAAAAAAATTGATACGAATCGTTCGTTTATCCGAGTTAATTTGTTGAATAAGATTAGAGGGGTAAGTACCTGAAAAATGAGAACAAATTGTCATTGCACTTGGACAATTTTCTGTCACTGATTTATGGTATTAATTGATATTCGATTTTCGGTATTGATTTACTCTTTCATTTTTCTATAAGAAAAAGAAATTCATACGAATCGTTCATTTATCCGCGTTATTTTGATGAATAAATTAAATGTTGTTCGGTCTTCAATTTTCGGTACTGATTTATTCTCATTTCTTTATAAGACAAGAAAAATTGATACGAATCATCCGTTTATTCGAGTTAATTTGTTGAGTATATTAAAGGGATAAATACCTGAATATTGAGAACAAATTGTCATTGCACTTGGACAATTTTCTGACACTGCTTTACGGTATTGATCGATATTCGATTTTCGATACTGATTTACTTTTCTATTTCTCTATAAGAAAAAAGATTCAACGAATCGTTCCTTTATCCGCGTTAATTTGATGAATAAATTAAATATTGATTGGTCTTCACTTTTCGGTACTGACTGATTCTCTAATTTCTTTATAAGAGAATAAAAATTTATAAGAATCTTTCTTTTATCCGACTTAATTTGTTGAATAAATTAGTGGGGTAAGTACCTGTAAGATGAAAACACCTTGTCATTGCACTTAGACATTTTTCTAACGCTCATTTATAGTATTAATCAATATCCGGTTTTCGATACTGATTTAGTCTTTGAGTTCTCTATAAAAGAAAAAAGATTGATACAAATTGTTCATTTATCCGCGTTAATTTGATGAAAGAATTAGATATTGAACGGTCTTCGATTTTCGGTACTCACTAATTTTCTAATTTCTTTACAAGAGAATAAAAATTGATACGAATCGTTCTTTTATCCGACTTAATTTGTTGAGTAAATTAGTGGGGTAAGTACCTGCAAGATGAAAACAACTTGTCATTGCACTTGGACAATTTTTTGACACTGATTTATAGTATTAATCGATATTCGATTTCCGGTACTGATCTACTTTTTCATTTCTCTATAAGAAAAAAATTCATACGAATCGTTCATTTATCCGCGTTAATTTGATGAATAAATTAAATATTGATCGGTCTTCAATTTTCGGTACTGATTTATTCTCATTTCTTTATAAGACAAGAAAAATTGATACGAATCATCCGTTTATTCGAGTTAATTTGTTGAGTATATTAAAGGGATAAATACCTGAATATTGAGAACAAATTGTCATTGCACTTGGACAATTTTCTGACACTGCTTTACGGTATTGATCGATATTCGATTTTCGATACTGATTTACTTTTCTATTTCTCTATAAGAAAAAAGATTCAACGAATCGTTCCTTTATCCGCGTTAATTTGATGAATAAATTAAATATTGATTGGTCTTCACTTTTCGGTACTGACTGATTCTCTAATTTCTTTATAAGAGAATAAAAATTTATACGAATCTTTCTTTTATCCGACTTAATTTGTTGAATAAATTAGTGGGGTAAGTACCTGTAAGATGAAAACACCTTGTCATTGCACTTAGACATTTTTCTAACGCTCATTTATAGTATTAATCAATATCCGGTTTTCGATACTGATTTAGTCTTTGAGTTCTCTATAAAAGAAAAAAGATTGATACAAATTGTTCATTTATCCGCGTTAATTTGATGAAAGAATTAGATATTGAACGGTCTTCGATTTTCGGTACTGATTTATTTTCAAATCGTTTTATAAAACAAAAAAATTGATACGAATCGTTCGTTTATCCGAGTTAATTTGTTGAATAAGATTAGAGGGGTAAGTACCTGAAAAATGAGAACAAATTGTCATTGCACTTGGACAATTTTCTGTCACTGATTTATGGTATTAATTGATATTCGATTTTCGGTATTGATTTACTCTTTCATTTTTCTATAAGAAAAAGAAATTCATACGAATCGTTCATTTATCCGCGTTATTTTGATGAATAAATTAAATGTTGTTCGGTCTTCAATTTTCGGTACTGACTGATTCTTTAATTTCTCTATAACAGAATAAAAATTGAATACTAATCGTTCTTTTATCTGACTTAATTTGTTGAGTAAATTAGTGGGGTAAGTACCTGCAAGATGAAAACAACTTGTTATTGCACTTGGACAATTTTCTTGACATTGATTTATGGTATTGATTAGTCTTCGGTTTTCGGTACTAGTTTATTTTCTCATTTTTTTATAAGACAAAAAAGTCGATACGATTCGTTAGTTTATCCGTGTTAATTTGTTAAATAAGATTAGAGGGGTAAGTACCTGAAAAATAAGAACAAATTGTCATTGCACGTGGGCAATTTTTTGACACTGATTTATGGTATTAATCGATATCCGGTTTTCGATACTGATTTAGTCTTTGATTTCTCTATAAAAGAAAAAAGATTGATACAAATTGTTCATTTATCCGCGTTAATTTGATGAAAGAATTGAATACTGAACGGTCTTCGATTTTCGGTACTGTTTTATTTCCTCATTGTTTTATAAGACAAAAAAATTGATACGAATCGTTCGTATATACAAGTTAATTTGTTGAATAAGATTAGAGGGGTAAGTACCTGAAAAATGAGAACAAATTGTCATTGCACTTGGACAATTTTCTGTCACTGATTTATGGTATTAATTGATATTCGATTTTCGGTATTGATTTACTCTTTCATTTTTCTATAAGAAAAAGAAATTCATACGAATCGTTCATTTATCCGCGTTATTTTGATGAATAAATTAAATGTTGTTCGGTCTTCAATTTTCGGTACTGATTTATTCTCTCATTTCTTTATAAGACAAGAAAAATTGATACGAATCATCCGTTTATTCGAGTTAATTTGTTGAGTAAATTAGAGGGATAAATACCTGAAAATTGAGAACAAATTGTCATTGCACTTGAACAATTTTCTGACACTGATTTACGGTATTGTTCGATATTCGATTTTCGGTACTGATTTACTCTCCTATTTCTCTATAAGTAAAAAATTCATATGAATCGTTCATCTATCCGCGTTAATTTGATGAATAAATTAAATATTGATCGGTCTTCAATTTTCGGTACTGACTGATTCTCTAATTTCTTTATAAGAAAATAAAAATTAATACGAATCGTTCTTTTATCTGACTTAATTTGTTGAGTAAATTAGTGGGGTAAGTACCTGTAAGATGAAAACAACTTGTCATCGCACTTAGACAATTTTCTAACACTGATATATAGTATTGATCAATATCCGGTTTTCGGTACTGATTTAGTCTTTGATTTCTCTATAAGGGGAATCAATACTACTGTTCCTAAAAACTCTTGAATCTATAGCAATTACTTTTGTGAAACCACGCGATCAAGCTTCAAATATCTAAATTAATAAATGCTTATAAGAAAATTGTAATTTTATTAATTATTATTAGTAAAAATTGATAACTCCAATGAAATAACTTACAGTTAAATAAAGATAAATCACATTGTGCTACATTTGGCCATTGCACATAAGTAGGCATTAATTGTGCCAAAGTATAAATTACATTAATAAATATTTGGTAGCCAGTACTTTTGGCTAACCCAAATTTATCACTCACTGCTAAAAAACTTTCAGGTTTAGCTAATGCCCAAATTGTAAACATCAACTTTTTGCTCGTACTTACATTTATATTTTCTTCTTGATTTATGAGAGGAGCAACTATGTTAAGTAATTCCTATAATAAATGAAATTATCATAAATTATATTTCTATAGGTAACAAAAATATCGGATAAAAACCTCAAACGTGCCTCGTGACATCCTAAAATGTTCCACAAATTGTAAATCTGTATAACGAGGAATCGTTACTTCGAAATAATTTTCATTTCGCGGCTTTTCGTTCCACGTCTAATTAAATCACCTGATAATGGATGACCCAAATTTTCTACAACGATATTCACTACGTTATTAATATCTAACCCTTCGTCTATTGCAATTAAATTTATTACATCCATTTTAACGACTTCGTACAAACTCATTAAGTATATAACATAACCTATAGCGTTCGTTTTGAATGCAAAATCGATTAAAAGAGCGTTCAGCAGAACTTCCTAACAGTTGGTAACGTAGCGGAAAGCGCTTACTAAGTGCTTTTCTCTGCTGAACGCAACCATTGGCTACTGTGTATCTGAAGATGAACTTAAGATTAATGGTCTTAAATATAAGACCTGATTATGAATATCGGCCTATGAATCGGCCCGGAGGCCGCTCTCAGGTCGCAGGTTTCTCTCTGGTATTATCTCGTCGATATTTCAAGTAACGCATATAATTACATATTTATATAAATTATATACATTAAAATATATCATGCTTGTTAATACTTATGTTATGATAATATAAATTGCAAATTTATTTTTGTTCGAGTATAATACAAGTCGAATAAAATTATTGCTACATCACACTAGTATAGATTATTAAATTGTGAAATATTAAGTAAGAATAATATGAATTTAGAGATAATTGGTTCGATCATCGTAAATCGATTGCTCGGATGCTCATAAGATTTACGGTTACCGACAGTTCCGTCAAATAACCAGAGTGTGAATGTTAAGGTCATTCTACAATACGTGTCGTAAGTTGTAAGTCGTAAGAATTGGCGAATCATAGTCGATTATTACAAAAATAATCGGCTATAATTGGTCAGTTCTTACGGCTTACAATTTACGACACGTATTGTAGAATGACCTTAAGAGGTCGTCAGTAAGCTGTTATCAGCGTATACAATTTATATAGCGCTGGTGTCGCTTTTCACTTCATAATACTGCAAGAGATGCAGAGATGGCAATAGCTTAGGGACACCATCTGTTTATGATAGTTTACACAGTTGTTTTATTTGTTCACATTGCTTAGGTCTATTTCTTGTGAACTATTGAGTATTATTATTATTTAACGGTTTAACTAAAATGATTAAGTCTGCTCTATTGTTGTTTAAATCTCCTTTATTATCGAACAGTGTGTCGGTCAGTGGTGCTGCAATTTGCGCCTTTTTAAATACCATAACCCCCAGAAACATTTGCACTACCTCACTTTGTAACAAGAAAATTCGATCAGATTCCGGCAAATTGAGGGTTGGCAAGGACTCAAAGTATGAATTAATAGAAGGAGAAACTACACCCGAACTGCTGAACATTAATCAGAAGTAAGTTGCAGGAATAGCCCTAATAGGAGCCATATCTTCTATGGAAGCTGTTATAACAGTTTCGTTTTAATGTTTCAGAGAATCTCTATTTCCTGATGCCGATACACCGAATCGCCTATTTAATGGTATACTGTATAAAGAATTGCATATTATTAATATTAAATCAACTCCTAATAATACAATTATGACTCTCACTGATTGCACTGGTAAAGTATTAACATTGCATTCAGCTGGTGTTGAAGGTTTTAAAAATGCTAGAAAAGGAACAAACATTGCTGCTCAACAAGCAGCTTTAACATTGGGTCATGTGAGTATAAATTGAATATATGTTGTAAAAGTTACATACATGACATAAGTTGTTCTACGAATATGAAATATGTAATCTATGTAATTAGATTTATATATCTATATGTTTATTGCTAAAAAGTATGTATTTATTATTCAGCGTATTCGTGAATATGGTATAGAATCAGTGAGAATACGAGTACAAGGAATCGGAGCAGGCAGAATGGTACTTTAAGAACATAATTTTTTCCTTATATCCATTACATCAATTTAATGATTGATAATATATTTAATGCTGAATATTGGTTTTCAGTCTTCTATAAAAGGTCTTTCTATGACAGGATTAAAAATTGTTTCGATTACGGATGATACTAGGGTAAGCTGGAATCCGCCAAGACCAAGAAAACAAAGAAGAGTATGATTTAGTGTAGTGAGTATTACTAATTGTAAATCTCTTTATTGATTATTATAATACATCTTGTAAAAATTCAACAGTGTCATTTTACATTTTGAGATACTCTACTATATTACATATTGAAATTAAATGCTTTTATCAGTTAAGGTTACTGAAATTTCTTTATTAACATTTACATTGGTTTTATATGATTGGAATACTGTGATATATATATCGATTCATAATCTTATAACTAAAGTTATAAAATTATATAAATATGACTAGATTATATTTATTCTAAGTCTAAATTCTACAAGAGGTAGAATTTCTCTACATGTATGAATTATATTTTAAATATTCTATGCAGTTCTATTTTTCAATGTAACTAATTTTTTTTCTTCAGATTATACACATTATACTTTTACTTTATTAAATACAGTCTGTATAAATTAGTTCACATATATATGCATAGATTTTCATTAACCAAAAATGAAATATTTTTTGCCTCTATCTCAAAATTTGTTGCATCTATCTTTTCCATGCCTATGCTTTTACTTTAAATGCCCAATAATGATGTAATATCGTAAAATTTAGCGATATTGTAGAAATTGACATATATGACCATCTATATACACATATATTTTAACAAATTGTTAATTCTTAAATTCTGTTTATCCAGAAATAATTATCTATAATTGTTTTTGTTCATCTCTGAGGCGTATTTTGCTTTAACTGAATAATAATTATGTACCAGGTATTTATTACCGTGTCTTGATGATGAAATTTTGTACTAAAATGTCCATGATGATATATTTTGATATGATATATTAATATTCAATTATCACCAGAAGTCTTTTTAAAGACTGAATATTTATAATTTAAAATATTCTTTTTTAACATGACAGTAGTAGAAATTATTAATCCGTTCATTTTTTTATAAATTTCTAACTATCATTATATCTTTATTTCACAAAAATAATCGTATGACAATACTTTGTTAGGTCGATTATCTCGTTTAATCGACAAATTTAATTAAAACTAATTAATAATTCGAACATCTCATAATAATCAATCATTCATATCATGCTCTTTTTATTTCTTTTATGCAAAATATTTTTATTATAAGTTTTGAAAATAAAATAATAATAATAATAATAATAAATAAGTGCACTTTGGGCATGCCAAAAATTGGTATACTTTCGTCATATTAACAGAAATAAATATTTAAATAAACACATATATAAAATAAATAAGCATATTTCTCGAAATTATTATAAGTACATTAAAATATTGGTATATAATATTATCGTAGAAGGGATAGCTGCAAGATTAAGAGGTTTCGAGATCTGTATACATACTATTAGACTAGATATCGATCAAAATAATAATTAAGATCGACTTTTTTCCTTCTGCATTACACAACTGCAACTGTAATGTAGCTTTGGAAAAAGAACACATCGTCAACTCGAGTCGATTACCCGAATCGTCATCGCGAACAATCTCGGAGCGAATTTAATTGAATGTACAACATAGGGACGTCAGATGTCCAGATCTCAGTTGGATAGCCCAAGTTTTATCGTCCATATTCAACTATCCAGCTATATATATACAATATTAAAAATATCCAGACTATAAAATATTTTTTATGTATTTGTGAAAAAATATATTTTGCACAAATTACATTTCTAATTTCTTTTTTTTTTTGTGACAGTTCAGTCTGCTCTTTTCAATTTTTTTTATCTCACAACTCTAATGTGTACAAGCAAATTTACGATTAAGCCAGAAAAGGCGAAGGATCGAAGACGTCGAGATGGAACTTCGCGTTGGCAGCTCCTCGGCGTCGCAGTTCACCGGCGAGATTGCACCTCTCGCGTGATCCAAGAAATGTAATCCGAAGTACGTGTGTAAATGCCAGGAAGTCGCGGTCTACTACAACCTATGCCTGTGGAGACTACTCCTACGACCATCGCGCTACCACCAGGACGACTTCCGACCATCAAAGGCCCGCCACTGTCGGCCTGAAATAAAGTGCAGGATGTGCAGTCGTCTCCTCACGTCCCATAAGCTTTCGTGGTTATGGTAAACGACGCGGTGCAAATTCCACTTGCTCTAGTACGGAGCGTATAGGGCCGCGTGTGTATCCATTATTGCAAGTCTCGGTATCGTTCCGCGCGCGGATCCGGATCGTAAATCTCGCCGTTGGAAATTCTCAAGATGGAAACGAGCTTTTACCGGCGCGCGACGTTTATCGTTGCTCGGTTTATTTCGCACGGTGCGTTAATATTGTCTGAATTTATTCCCGTGATTCATCGATCGGGTCTCCCTTTTCAGAATAATAATTGAAAAAACAGCTTTTATATTGTTTAGTTTGTGACTGATTAGTTTAATTCACTAATGTATGCGACAGGAATTTATATTAAGAAGAGGTATCTCTCGATATTCAGAAGAGATATTTTCCTCGGTCTTCGGCAAGGAAAATTCGAATTGCTGCGTATGGTAAGAGATATGTCCGTGAGAATATCGCACAAAGAGAAATATTATACTACTGCTGAGAAAAGCGATTCCTCGGTTTACTTTCCTCCTCTCAAATAATAGTTACCTTCAACAAAGAATATTCTCTTGGTAATAGTTTTTAAATATACTCGTTACTAAAGTTAGGAAAGTTTATTATATATCATATTTACTCATAAAAAATATATATTATCTTTCCAATATCATAAAATTAATATTATGAAATAATATATTAAAAACACAATAATATATGTACTATGGAGAAAAAGCAAATCGAATTTTTATCTTGATTCAATTATAATAATATAATATAATATTTATTATAAATATTATGTTAATATTTTTTAATTTTGATTTAATATTCTTAATTAAAATACTATGAACTTATCGGAATCTAGAATGTATTTTGAGTAAATTTAATACTTATGATAAACTTATAATAGATTTATGGGTATATAAATTTACGAAATATCTAATAAATAACATTTACTTGAATGCAATATATATTTTTCTATGTGCAAAAAAATATATTTTTATCGCTATAAGTGTATTAATGTAATCTATTCTTTTTTTTAATTCCAACCGCGTTATATATATCCGGTATAAAATCTATTGAAATCAATCTTGCTAGTCGCTGGCTGTCCGTAATTCTCACGAGCAAGCGCAAACGAGGCAAATAGGAAATCTAGCACATCTCAATTCCCATCGGAACCTTCAGCGGTATTGTACTTTCGGTATTCCCTTTCTCCTTGATATATTTCGAAGCAATACGTTCCTTCTCGATTGTTTTCTCGGGAATACCTTCAACAGGGGGAAATAGAAATTGCTGATAAGGACGCGGCAGAGACGCAAGGGGAACTTATCGGGGACAAGATCGAGAGGGTGATACTTTCATTTTTGTTCCGGTGGATGCCGACTTGGTAATGCCGTAGCGGAACTCCCGCAGGAGTTACTTTCGCAAGAACTGCCGTTAGTTTAATTGATCACGCGAACTTAATGTTCGCGTAGCAGGAAAGACGCGTTGTCCATCTTTACGTAAGATAAGGAAACAGAAAGTAAAAAAGCGACCGACTTTGTCTCCTCTGCCTCCTGATATCCATTTCTTAGAACATCAAGTAGGAAACATCACTTTTATATATGTGCATATTGCAACATATGCGTGTCTATATTTATTTGTAATTATCTTTAATTTCTTTATAATATAATTTATGTGTCATCCTAGTCCAGTAATTATTATTTTTAACAAAGAATATTTTCTTGATAATAGTCTTCAAATATATCATTGCAATTTTAGGAAAACTTATTATATTAATTAATATTCTTGATTGAGATATAAACTTACTAGCATTCAGAATATATATTTTAAATAAATTTGAAGCAAGTAACATTTACTTGAATGGAATATATATTTTTCTGTGTGCATGCATAGATTCTTGTAGATTATTTGCCATAGATATATTGAGTTTGTGTATAAATCCGTTCGACTTTTCAGGACAAAATTAAAAAGACGAGAATTCAAAAAAGAATTATGTATATATTATATTATTCCCTAGTAAAAAATATATCGTCCTTTCTATTAACTGATTCGGGACTTCTCATCGATTTCTACTTTCAAACGGTCAATTGTGAGCAGTGTTTGATCAAATCAAGCTGAGAGAAACAAATTTATTGCAATCCAATGTTTAGGCGAATATAAGTATCGATAACATAAGTAATCGATAAATATTCGATTGAAAAAAAATGGAAGAACAAAAAAGAGGAAGAGAAGATTGGCTTTTTTTGCTACGACTTAATGTCAAGGATATTATTTTCTAAGTAAATATCGCTTAAAAAGTCCCTCATAATTCACTTAGTAATTAAGGAGAAGCCGATGCCGCGATGCTCTTCGCCTGTTTAGCGAACGTCACCGCTATTTTTCCAATCCCTGTCACAATTTCGTATAAATATCGATTCACGTTAGAGGCCCGGAGAGAGCGAGGCCAATGCAATTATATACGATCCAATTATCGGGGACCGGTATCATCCGACATGGTCGGCTATCATGCCTGAGCAGCATTGTACACTCGCATTACCATGGTACCGCGGATATTTATTGAAATTCGCGTCGTGCCCGGCCGGCGAACCGTGAATTCCGTGATCGGGCGATTGACAAGCGGTGCTGTGGACGAGCAGCGATGCGCAAACGCAAAAATACGACGCCATGGGCAGAACGCCCATGGCGTCGTATTTTTGCCGTAGGTGCAGCTCGCAATGGACGCTTTTTACTTACCCAGCAAGAATCCCTTCCTCCCTCTTCGTATCCGGCGCACATTTGCGTCGAACCTACGCGGGTCGACTTGCCCTGGCTCGCGTACCATTCGCTGCATACGGTATTTGCCACTACGCGGACCTCCACTTTCTGCAGCACATCCGTCCTTTTGTCTGGAACATAACATAACAACATTTCAATAGCACGTCGTGACCAAGTTCTCCTCCGAATCAGTGGACCGAATCACCGCCCGCGCTCGCAGTCCGATCGTTTCGAGACGATACGCGAGCCGCTTTAAACCTTTGAAATTCTAATTTCTCAGAACGCTCAGGTTCCCAGGTAAAAAATTATATTTTTTAAAAGAACTCATAAAATTGAGGACAATAACAGTCAAATGCATTTTTAGGATTTATTTAATCCAGACAATCATAAATGCAATCGGGCCTGTATGGATAAACGATTAGAAATAAACATTGAGATTATACTTTTACCCCTCCGGAAATAAGTTCTCCACGTTCTGTTTTGCTGCCAAGATGACCCCCTGGCCACTTTTATTGATTCTATGCGAATTGTTATACGTGTCGCACTACCACGCTTGCGGGAACTTTGGTGATTACAGAAACTTCGGCGTGCGTTTCGTTGCTCCGATCGTTATCGTGCCAAGATTTATCGAAATATACACACACATACACTTTAGGCTTACCGATATATATCTCAAGTATTTATGAAGACTCTCCGCAACTTGGCGGATCAAGCGGAATCTTCGCGTTAGATAACTCTGCGCTTGCATTCGCGAGAATATTTATGCGTCACACGCACGTCACGCAATGCAATTGCGTATGCATACAAAACACGGACACAATGTATTTCTTGAGATGTGCCAAATTGCTAATAATCTGCGGAAGCCGGAAACGTTCAAGTGCTCTTGAATAGTCGGCATTCAATGTCGATAGGAAACCTTACGAAAGTTCGAGCGAAATATTCGCGTGAACTGTGCCGAGATTCCGCGATTAACGGCTATTAAGAAACTAATGTGCACCGCAGATATGCACCGATTCTAGTACCGAATATCATTAATTAAAATTCACCTGTTTATTTCTATTCAGTATTCGACCTCTATTTATCACATAGTAGAGCCGAACTTTCGACATCTGATTCGATATCACCTTTTCACAATTTTTCTTCCAATATGAAAAATATGAAAAATGTGCAAAATAGGCACATTCATGGAACTTTCCACGTCGGAATTTTTCTAGTATTTGAATAAGAACCGATAAATAATTCTCTGATTCAAAAGTTTACGCGGATTTTGATTAGAAGCGTAATATTTCAAACATGCAAATTCAAACATAAAATATTTTATTTGCTCTATCTAGTATTTTTGCAAAGATAGTTTCTAGTTTTTATTTTACGTTATAGATTTGAGAGAATATTTACACTTCTCAAGTATCTTCTACAAGTATGAAACGAAAAATATAAATATCCCAAATGTTTTAAATATTTATTATTTTTATTTCCATATTCTATTTAACACAATAGTCGATATAAACTGGAATGTTCTATTTGATTCTATAAGAAAATATTCTGGTTTTATTCATTAAAACGAGCGAGTTCCCGCATTATTTGTGCCAGTCAGAAAAATCCATATTTCGAATAAAGATGGAATCCACATCCTTGGAATAGAATGAAATCGGTATCATATAGCGAGACAACCAATTTGGGGACAATTTGGAGCATTCTCATCGGAATCTACGTTGTATCTAGGAAAATCTCGAGAAACCTCTGTACTAGTTAGTCCGACGAAAGATACGCAAGATCTCGTAACAATACTCCGAAATAGGAGACTCTTTTAGTAAATGCGACACGATGAGGATTGGAATTTCGAAATGAGCCTTCGCGATAGCTCCAAATAGGATCGTTTAGATCGTATTTACCGATGCGTCAAAAGCCAAGTCAGACGTAATGATCCCTAATCTCATTCGGCGCTGTCGTGTACACACAATTAGTGCGGAAAAAGAGGAAACAATTACTTACATCTGGACCTATCTTCGCCGAGCCAGCCCCATCCCGCTACGATGGCGTGCTCACCGCCGAAGGCACTATAACCTGGTTTTCCTGTGGCCACAGGTAAACACGCGGGTTTCACGCTTTCCGACCAAGTGATCGGTCTGGCTAGTTCCAACAGCGCAATATCGTCTACATACTTGCCGCACCTGTGACCGGGATGCAACACTGCGTTTATGACGCTCTCGTGTCTTGCTGCTGGCACTTCTGGGGCCTTTAAATTGTGCTCGCCCAGAGTGACTCTCAGTTGTCCTACGGGAATCTTGTTCGTGCCGCTGGAATTAAAGCGGGAGTGAATTCAATTTGCGAACGATACGCCGTGCTATTCGCGAGTGCTATTGATACGATTGATCGAGAAGGCTGGCGAGAGTTTCTTTCTCCTCCTCTCGCTGTCAAAGAATCGAGTGTTTTGCAAAGTGCGAAGAACACCATTGTATGGTTTTCGTAACTATTAACATTCAATAGCATTATGATGGTATATTTGATAGTTAAAATACAAGTGTATATATATATATATATATATATATTTCATTTTCTCGTTTTCTAAGAAAGTGCAGTAATTTAAAGCAGGACATAATAATGTAAGGTGAAAGGAGAAAAATAGAGGGAAAAATGATATTACATAAAATAAATAGATTTTCAATAAGCAGAACCAAATAAATAAATGCAAACGAGCAAGTAAGAACCAGCGCTGTTGTTCGAGCGAAATTTAACAGATAAAAGAAAAATTTGCCTTTATAAATAAATTATAAATAATTTTTTAATCTTTTTTGTTTTATTGTAATTTTTAACCAGGATGATTTAAAGGCTGAAATGTTTGAATTGAATTTATGTGTGTATGTGTATAAAAAGAAACAAATTTTTCTCTTATATATTACATTTCGATCAAATAACATTGCTGGCTCTTGCCTCTGCATTTGTTTATTGCAATGATATTAATTGTCCATTAGCTTTCCATTATATGTAAACGTTTATTTCAATCAAGTGCTATATTTCAATTTGTCGAGATTAAATGATCCTTGTGATCGTAAAATTTCACTTTGATGCAAAAACATTTGCTCGTATTCGCACACAACGCACAGTAATTTGATTAGAATCTCTTCGCAACGTTTCTCTTCTCTCTCAAAATTCTCAAAACGAAACAACCAGACAAGACATCTCTCTTTAATCATCATCAGTTCTCAATCTTTTTACAGTTTGATATTTATATTGAATCCGAAAAGTACATGACAAAAGAAAAAGTGATGTACGTAAACATCAGAAACATAAGAAACACATTAGAGATATAAAGATATAAAAGCATAAATCTGTTTACCGCTCAAGCAGTTTTTATCTAATCTAATGTCTTTATATATTAAAATTTCAAAAGATACTATAATAAAAAGATAGGTCAATACTACGTACAATAATATATAAATAACGAGCCGCATTCGGTTTAATTCATACAAGTTATTCGCATGTATTAACCGAAACCTGATAGAAGAATTGAAAGGTGAAAGTGTACGTGCATGCTTGTGTATAAGAGTGATACACTATACAGCAACGGCATATAAGAATACCATGAATGCATTTGAGACGAGTAATGTACACATCTCATATTCGCAAGCCCGCGAAATGCCCGCAACTTACGTTTCCTGCAAGAAATTTATACGGCTCGTGCCGTAAGAATGGTGAATGAAAAAAAAAGAAAGAAACGGCATTCAACCTCCGCTCTTTACTCGAGTCACGAAACGCACATGTACATGCAAACACACACACACACACACACACACACACACGCATATGTATCACGGGAATCTTCTCCTCCGCACTCTCCTCTTAACGCGCAGGAAGTCCAAGCTAGACACCGGCTAGCAATAATGGAAGATTCGCGAATCCCCCCGCGAGAAGTCGTCGATACACCCGGCCATCCTCTGTGAGAATCTCCTCCTCCCCCGCACTGTCCTATCAACTAAGCGGGCGAATCCCACCTCTTTCGCAGTTTCTTTCTCTGAGACGTCGGCAATTATTTAACCGGGATTTTTGTCCCACCCGAACGACGCGCCCGCGTCTGCGAAGCTTCCTCGAATACCTGAGCCGGCCCGAGTGGCTTCAGTTAATTAATCGGTCTACGGTACCTCTGAATAATTAACAAAATTACGACGCTCCCTCCACGAAACTATCCGTCCCAACGGTCGAGCGCCCCCGCGTCTCGCCGTTGTATTTTACGAGCCTCTGTCGTCCCACTTTCGTCAGCGGCAACCCCTGCCGCGTCTACCCTACTCTCCCCCCCTGTCCCGATCTCCTTCCATCCCTTTTCCTCTCACCTGTTCCTCCCTTCCTCTCTCGGCCCCTCTCCTCGCTTCCTCTTCATCTCGTGGTCTCTTTCCCTCCTATACACGCGGAGAGAGTTTATCGCGGAGCGTTTTCTAAGTTTCCAGGGCCTGTTTCGTCGCCGCTCCTTACAAAGCCGCCTTAATGGACCTTTCCATCGTCGTCGAGTCCCCGCTATTGTTCCGCGGCTCGCGGATTATACGGTTTACTTTCAATGCATCTCCGACACTCCCTCCTCGACGTCGTCGCGCCCTTCCAATTAAAATGCGCGAGCGCTCGGGCGTCGCAGGCGGCGAAGACGGCGGCGGGCGAGGAGCTCGTCCATCGGAGGAGATGCACGAGCGTTGCCGCGGCAACTCGATTTGTGTTCCGTTGAGCCAGCGTCGATTGCGTTAATCGCTCGCCTCGGGATAACGGAGGAGATCGACGTTTTGTGCTCTCTACTCAGCGAAAAATCGCGCTTCCAAATGGGTCGGCGGATTTTGCATTAAAATCGAGGTCGCGTGCTTCCTGGTCGTTGGCCCTTCCCGTCCGCGTAATATACGCGTTCTCTGGGACACCTCATTATCATAACTCATTAGGACACGTAACTCATCCACAAAATAACGCGGTCGCGCGCGCGCGCGCGCGCGCGCGCGAGTTCCAAAACGCAACTTTGCCCCGCAACGAGCGGGATATTAACGCGAGTTAATTAGTGCTATTAAACGTTTCCTAATGTCTAAACAGAAATATGTATGTTAATTACGACCTTTTAATCGTTCCTTTTAATCGCTACGCTAGGACAAAATACCGGACGATCAACGCGCCAACGTTCCAGATTATCGTCCCCTTGCTGTTTCATTTTATGAAACGCTCGCGATCCAACGTGCCGATAAGTCGTAAAAAATTGGAACTGCTGTTACTTAAACGAAAAAAAAAAATAAATAAATAAATAAAAATAAAAGAAAATACGGAAACAGAAGGAGAAGAAAGGAATGTATATGCAGATAAAGACACATTTGATCGAAGTTGAATTGTCTTTAGCACGGAGCTTGCGGTATTAATTAAAGACTCGTTTAATAGTTCAACATTGTGCCAATTAGGCACGTGTTCATTCTTCTCGCATTATGCGAATAATGCGCGCCATTCAGCTACGACAAAAAGAATCTTCCTTTTTTTCCACGTGTACCGACGATCTCGTTAAAAATTAATTGGACGCCGACTCGGTAAATCGATCGGAATTAATTTCAGTCCGGTTCGTTAAATCGCGTGGCTCTCTTGGCACTAGCTATACAAGCATTGGGACGCGCCCGTGAATTACGCAACGTCGCACGGAGAATGACGTTAGCAATAAGGTACCGCTGAACATTAATTTACCGTACGATATCGTCGAATGGGAAATATCGACGCCGCGTCGCTAGGCTGCCAGTTCTTGTACTACTATACGGGTGTAATTCGTACCTGCTCGCGTGATGATTAATCAGCCATATTATCCGCGTTGCGCACGTTGTATTAATGGTAATTGGTCGCCGCGCCATCAGTCCGATAGAACGACGCGTTATTATTTGTTTAATCAACCGCTAATTCGACGAGTGCGCTGTTACATTTGCTTATATTCGAAAACGGCCAGCGTTTGTGCGAAGACGCGCGGACGATGTTAAGTCGAGTTGATCTCGTTGGAACAATTCGACGGTAGATGCCGGTAAAAAGCGCTCGGATTTGTGATCTCGGCATGTGATAAAAATAATAAAGTTAGTCATTTGAGGCGATATATGAAAAACGATCGTTTGAGGAGTTAAGTCTTACTGTACTTTGAGAAGAATATTTATTATAAAGATAACATAAGAGTACTAAGTTGAGAAGAAAGGAATTGTGGAGCAGCACTCGCGCATTCGCTGTCGCGCATCCGCCCTAATTGGAACTTCCAAGAATGTCCGATAAAGTTCGTCACGTGCGAACTTCATCTCGATTTTTCCTACACAGTGTACACGAGATAACAAGAAGCCGCCGGAAGAGAATCCAGTCGCCATAAATTCGATGCAACAAGGTGCTAGATATCGTCGACGCAGCGGGCCGTTTCTTCTCGAAACGCGCAAACGACTCCTGGATTATGCAGCGGCGAATAATAGAAGGGGCAAAAAGAAAGGAATAGAGTAGCGGCACGGGCCGCGAAGGGCCGAAGGTAAAGTGAGACGCGACAGGGCGGACACGGCCGCCTTCATTTTCACGCCTCCCTCGCGCCTTGTTGCAACGTTTTCCATGCGTTTTGCATGGCTGCTAGCAATTACCGAGTGGTCTGTAATCTACACGCAATCATGGTTTACAGCGCCAAAGCTCGGCGCTGTGAATTCTCCCTACGGCCGCTCGACGCCCCCGAACGGCCCCTATCGTCCTCTCCATCCCATCCCTCTGTAATCTGTCCAGTGACCGAAAGGGATACGCGCAATATCTGCACGTTTTGTTGCCCGGTCGGCTATGAGTCTACTCGTCCGTTTAATTATATCTACACGAAAGCTGTCCCGCATACATCGCCGTGGTCGCGCAAACTCGTCTGCTACGCGGTGATAGTGATTGTTGCTCGTTTAATTTGTGACGTGATCATTGGTATTTATTATTCCATTTGTTCGCTTTGACGAGGTGTTGTCCGAAACGCTGTCTGCGCTCGACCGTTCAGTGACGCGCGACGAAAGCTTTTGCCGATAGTCTCTGATATAATATTGGCATGTTCGAAGTGAAAAATTTAATCTCTTTCTTTTGGAACAAAAGAGGAGGAGGGGAGAGACGGGAAAAGAGAAATATATATATAGAGAGAAATATCGTACACGTAAAAACGGAATATTTTTTCTGAATCTCTCGTATGAATCTCATAAAATGATTATGTTTCTACTTATGATATCTGCACGCACGCGTCACATATATATCATGGTATGTGTGTGTGTGTGTATTCTGATATTTTTAGTTGTTTATATATTTATCTCATATGTATGGCAGTTTAGCCGGAAATATTTTTTTTTATTCACGCAACGCTGATCGCAAATCCGGATGATTGCGATTGGCCACTCGATAATTTTACGTCAGTATTTTTTTACGTCCAGCTTATTTTTTATTACACAATGTCCATATATGTATATATTTGAATATATCTTTATTCGTTGTTAGAATATGTATTTTATTATGGGCAATCTAAATTTATTATTTTGCCGACTATGAAATTTTATAGGAATATAATTATTAGGAATATATTAATTATGAGAGATTTGTGTTTGTTTTTATTTGGAATTTTTCATGCTTTACATGGTGACGCGAGAAAATTATATATGAACTTGTGCATCTAGTCGCTGTATTTATACAATAGGTAGATAAATTCTTTTATCATTATTTTAAATTTTAGGATTTAAATTTAGGATGATTTTATATTGCTTGTCTTTTTCTTGTCTGCGTATAGAGTTTTTCTTTTTTCTATTCAAAGAATAAAATTTTTCATTTCGCAAGCATGTCGTTATTCGTTACGATTTTCTATATTTCAATATCACATACTTCAATAATGAAAAAATATGCGTTGAAATAAATTTCGAAGCTTTAATGAAAACAAAACTGTAAAGTAATAAAATATTCTTGATAAAATTAAAAGGAATATACTTTATATATAGAAAATCTCTAAAGTAATAATTATGTTTCACAGCCTTCGACGGATTTAACGAAATTTGATATGCGAGTATATTATTAAAAGTTATCAACAAATTGTATATTCAAATCGATCGTTGAAATTAAAGTCTACTTTATAAAGGACTTAGTCTTGATGGAGTTTGTGTACTCCGTTAAAATGAAGATGCACTTTTGGAAAAGTTGTTAAAATATAAGTAAAACCGAAGATGTGATGTATCATATTTTGCTGCCATAACACATTAATCATTTATGCGAAGAGACATAATAATTAACTTTCTTCCGATGTGCAAATTTATTACGGTGACAAAATTAATTAAATGTCAGGGATACCTGCCGAAATTCAATGTAAAACCATGATTATATAATAGATAATATATAAATTAAGACTCATATTTTTATATATTTGATTCCACAAATATACAAAATTCTAATTTAACAAGAATAAATACTAATAACATGATTAAAATAAACAAAAATAAGAACACTCAAACACTTTAAAAAAAAAATATTTCAAAACGTCGACTGCTAGAAGCTTTGCTTTTATAAATACTAGTAATTTACTTTTTAGTTAGGACATTTAAATCCTACTAAAATCGAAACTTACATTTTGCACGTAATAAAATAATCGCATAAATTTACTCACGAGCATAAACAATGTGCGGCGGTCAATACGAATCTATCATTCAGGATGGCACCGCCACAAAAATGTCCGCCCTTCCTTGTGATGCTCACGAGCCACGGAAATTCGTGCGGTGCGGCCTCTTGACCTCCGACAATTCGCGCCGATCGTATCCCACTTTCGCTTCTGCCGCACGGGACATCTGCCACTATCAAACACGAATATCCACGTTAATGCTCGGTAACGATTGATTGCTACGGCGATTTCGCATCACCGTCCGTATGACCGTCCGATATCCGAAACCGTCCACATCGTGTCGTTAGCGACGCGATCTTAAGCTGAATTCTCACTATCCCTCTAGGCGGCGATAGACAAAGATCTGTTAATCCTTTATCGAAACATTTCTCAATGTTTTTATATTCGAGGTATTTATGTTATCTGCGCCATCATTTCATTTCAATTATTCCTATTAAAAAAAGGAAAATACGGTAATTATGCATAAGGCCTAACGCATCGATTGGTAATCTTTGAATTATGTTAAAGTCATGACTCTCAATAAGAAATTTTAGTTCTTGTTATTTATGTATTAAAAAGTTAATAAACAAAAAGAATTTGAAGAACATACCAAGTAACGTCAGTCCTCAAGAACATAACCTTTCAATTCATAACCTTTCGATTCAAAATTAAAATTTTGGAAAGTACGAACATTTTCAAGTACGTGCATAGACTTGATACGTCTTCGCTTGAAACTGAAATATTCCGCCTTATTAGAATAATGAGTATTTTAAACTAAACCTAAAACATTGAAAACCCACGTAAGCTACATTATTATTTTAATTTATAACTACCGCGTCATTTTTTTAATTTATTCGTTTCTATCCAATAGATGTACCATGCGTAAGAGTTTATAAACTTTTAATAAATAAAAAATCTTAAATCTGTTAAAAGTTACTTAGGATCATGTCTTTAACAATATAATTCAAAGCCGTCGTGATTCATTGAAATTAACCGCGAGGTCGGCCTTATTCTGCATAATTACCAGAAAACTTGACGGAGGTTTGACAGACCCCTGTCTGCCGTTGTCTAGGTGGATAATGAAAATCCAGTCTTAGATATTTCACTTCTTCTTTTCATTCTCGATTCTATTTTATATTTGCTACTTTACATTCCCCATTTATTTTACTTTTTATGTCTCAGTTACTTATGTACAATGTGTATTTTCCAAATTCTACGTTTTATCGACGAGATGAAATTGCGTAGGGACTTGTGCAAATAATTTAGTGTCGGTGCTCGCGTGAAACATCGAATTACTATCGGAAACGTGATCGTCACATCTAATATCACGATCATTCTGAATTGCACGGAATTACCATCTGAGCTCTTGTTGATGAAAGCATACTGGCAGAATATATCGTCCTTAGCATTCGCTGATTAATGTTTGCCAGGCGTTTTCACGATAGATCAATCAACAATTAAATAGTGCCAATTGCACAGAATCGTAATTAAATCGATCATTGTATTACATGAAAATGTTCTCGCAGCATTTATTACCGGAAAATCTTCTAATTTATACGAGTTATTATAGATGAAATGTGAAACATAAATAATATATATTTTTATATTTCTAATCATTGTGTACTATTCATGAAAAGTTTTATAATACTTTATTAAAAGAATGTCAGAAAAAGGGCTAATATAATATGACTACTATTAGGTACGAGTGAGAAATAAATCCCACCAATCGTAAGATGTGTCGGATAATATGTAAAGAGACAAAATTTCTTAAGGTGATGAGAAAGCTCACAAAATATTAGCAGACCTAATTCACTATTTGTTTGATTTCTTATTATATTTTTATATATAAAATTAATAAAACAATAATAATAATAAGACATGGAAAACTCTGATCCGATGTATGCGTATTCTCAAATGAACCTGATGCTATCCACCACGATCGAATAATTGTTATACAGATTATCAAAGATTATTTTTTATTTATAAATGAGAAAATTGATCGATAAAAAGAACCGACATTTGTGACTGTCGTGAGTCTTTTAAAGAATCAAGAGAGAATGAAAAGATGATAAGTAGTGCTCAGTCGGTGAAAAGATAGGAAACTTTACACTCTGAAATCCGCTTCGCTTGTAGCTCAGCAGCAGTTGCTGTCAAAGTATATAATTGTAAACTGCACCACGAAAAGAGAACATCGGCATAAATCGATTAAAAGATTGCAAGAAGAAGCGCGATTACGCTAATAAAATTTTGCACCGATATCTCAGACCAGGATAGAAGAGAAAAGAAGGAAAAAACAAAGAAAAGAGAGAACACCCGCTCTTTCTTCCTTTTTCTCTCTTTCTCGCTATAACCTTCCATAGAACGTAATGAATACAATCGCGTTTGAAAGTAATAAATAGTGAAATCGCACTTGGTTGCAATCAACGATTATAGATGATTGCTGAGTTCCACTACAGACAATTACCATAAATTATCATTAATTAATAATAATTAAATAGTACCAATTACACAGAATCGTAATTAAATCGATCATTGCATTACATGGAAATGTTCTCGCAATGTTTATTGTCGGAGATTCTTCCAGTTTATACGAGTTATTACAGATGAGTTGAAACATGAATATAATATATTTTATTTTTCATATTTTCGATCATTGTGCATCATCCATAGAAGTTTTACAATACTCCTCCGTAGAAGGGGATAATTAATTCCTCTGACTCGGCTATAGGAAAGTTAATTCGCGCGATCTCTATCAGGATCGATCCAATTACTCATTTCTATGAACGTAGACATAGGAGGGAAACAAATAATCGGCTCGGTTAATCTAATGGTTTTCGCAATATAGGGAGACGAGAAGTGCGCACTCTCTCTCTCTCTCTCTCTTTTTCTTCCTGTTTGGATAGTCGAACGTGTTACGAGTCCTTTTTCATCTTTGAATGAACTCGTCTCGCGAAAGGACGACAAAATTACGTTCTTAAAATCCACCTCAGCGGCAGTGGCGGCGATGGCGATCCGATTGACGCGACGCGACGCAACGTCTGTTAACGGCGTTGCATTTAATTGAAACTTGAATCGCCGCGCAACGGAATGTTAACCGATTCGAGCGAATCCCCTCTGCTGGCGGCACGACGCTGGCTGGCGTCGCGCGAATTTAATGCCCCGAGCAGATAGGGACAGATACGGCGGATCTGTCACCACAATCCCTGCGACACCCCTGTGCGAGCCAAACCACTCCCTCTCTCTCGCTCTCTCCCTTGGTTTCCCTATCTCTTTCTCTCTCTCTCCCTCCCCGCTTCACTCGCCCCTCTCCCTCGCTCTGTTCAACCCCCTTCGAACCACCCACGGGTCGGACCCCCTCTCGTTTCACGCCCCGACTGATTAATTGGACCTCTACGTCTGCACCACCGCGTTTCCCATCCCCGCCGCTCTTCCACAACGGGCGAGGAAAGGACGTCGAAGCGGGTGGTGGCCGGGGAGGCGGCATAGAATTCGAAGTCGCCTCTATTCCGAAACGCGTAATAGATATGTCAAAAGCAGTTCGGGAACGCGATCATGATAATACGGCCGATGCCGCCTCGGTTCGACGAACGGGCTCGGTCACGGAGGCAACCCCCGTTTATATCCTCCGTCGAGTTGGGTTGCGCCTCTGGGAAGGGTGTCGAAAAAAAGAGCTCACACCCCTGTGTGTTTTTGGGGAAACCTGGCAGTGGCCGTATGGCTGTAAATCGAGGTATCTTGGCAGCCGTAACCGCGGCGTGCTTGTTGTGCCGGTAAAGTGGATCTACGGGAACGTACGTGGGAGTACGTGAGAATCGTCGTCGTCACTCTCCCCCCTCCCTCCACTCTTTCTCCCTCGCTCTCGCTCTCTCTCTCTCTCTCTCTCTCTCTCTCTCTTCTCTCTCTCTCTCTCTCTCTCTCTCTCTCTCTCTCTCTCTCTCTCTCTCTCTCTCTCTCTCTCTCTCTCTCTCTCTCTCTCTCTCTCTCTCTCTCTCTCTCTCTCTCTCTCTCTCTCTCTCTCTCTCTCTCTCTCTCTTCTCTCTCTCTCTCTCTCTCTCTCTCTCTCTCTCTCTCTCTCTCTCTCTCTTCTCTCTCTCTCTCTCTCTCTCTCTCTCTCTCTCTCTCTCTCTCTCTCTCTCTCTCTCTCTCTCTCTCTCTCTCTCTCTCTTCTCTCTCTCTCTCTCTCTCTCTCTCTCTCTCTCTCTCTCTCTCTCTCTCTCTCTCTCTCTCAGCGCCAAACATCGCACAATTCACATTTGTAACATATTTTCGTAACGAGTGTTAGTTGCCATTTAATTGATTAATTAATTAGTCATACTCGCGAATATCTTGGGTCGATAGCGGAGCGATGAAATTTATTATTTTGGATCTAATCTCTCGCATGCGAGGAATATGCGAAAAAAAAATTGTTATTGAATAATATACAGGCAAAAAATTTTTATTGAATAATATATACGCAAGAAAATATACATTATGTTCAAGTAAAGATTACTTGTATTTTGTTTGTATGTCCGTAAAATTATCATACGCATCAAATACTCATCATAAGCATCAAATTTATTTAATTAGGTAAAATGAAAAGTTTATATATATTTCTATATCGTTGTAATTTTATGAAACGATGTATGTGAAGAATCGTCATGAATCAAAAGAACACATATTGTTTTATAACATTATAACGACATAAAAATACAATCGTTTTGTTTTACTTAAAAGATTCGATATTGTTTGTCACACAATCCAATATAAATCCAATCCATATAGAAGAAAAACAATTTTGGATGAAAAATACTTTTCTTTGCTCATTAGGCATATTACGCTCGATGAAAAATTGAAGAATCGACATAACTAGTTTTAAAAATAAACTATTTTGTAAATTAGTACGAGGTAAATTATAATAAAACTAATAATGATGATAATTTGCAGGCAGAAAGGTGATTGAAAATGATTGAATCGCGCGTTCTTGGGGTCTCCGAAACTTGAGAATTCCGAATCTCCTTGGCGATCTTGTTCGCGTAATGTATTTCTTTTATCTTGTATACATTAGATATGAATGAGATTTAGTTCTGCTCGATATTGATTCTCTGCCAACGATAAGATAAATCTCGAGAGAGTCATGGACATCCGTCGAAACAATTCCAAACTTAATATCTCACCAGGAAAATCAACGAGATAAAAAGCGCCGTACAAATTACT